TCCCTGCAGTGAGTATAAATCAGTCAAGAGCTGCCCAGGGGTGCAATAACTTCCTAGTGGACTTTGCTAAGGCAGATGAGTGCTCACGTGTCCACTGCCTGCAGGAGTCTGGATAACCCAAGGGAAAGAGTCTGGAAATGAATGGCAGAAGGACACCTGGCTGCATTATCCAAGACCCTCTCCTCGAAGAGAAGCCCCATCCCTATCCCTGGGTGGCTCTCAGTTGAGACAAGTAACCATGATCCTAGGTTCTCAGGTCATTATTATCCCAGGGTTTCCCACCCTTCTTCTCCTTCCCCACCAAGGGGGCTTCACTCTTCCTGGAAATGAATGTTTGTGGGAAGATGGGGAAAAGGAAAGGGAACACCAATTATTGAGTATCTTCTGTGTTTGTCAGGCATTGTGCTGAAGCTGAGATAAAAAGATAAACACAACCAGACGAGGGAGACAGAACTATGTAAATAATTACAACAGTGTAACCATGGCTTTGTACTAGTTTCTACTAAGGTCGTGGGCGCAAAGGGAAAGTTATTGGCTTTGCCTGGGAGGTTGGATCAGTGCGTGTTGGGAAGGTTGTTGGAGAGTAGAGAACATTTAAGGAAGTGCTTAAAGGAGGCATAAAGTTTGCTGGAGGAAGGAAGGGAAGTTCAGATGGTGGGAGAAGTGTGGGTCCGTTGGAGATGGGAAAGTGACTGTGGTAGAAGTTGCAGCATTTCAGAGGCACAACATCTCAGCATCTTAGCAGAGGGTCATCTAAGCCAGGGTCCAAAGAAGAGTGAGATGCCTGTCAGTTTGGTAGACTGCTGGAGGTTTCTGAACAGAGGAAATGTCATGATCAAATTTGTATTTCAGAAGGGTGGCTTGGGGGGCCCAGTGAAAGATGGACAAGGTGTTTATTAAGCGTGCCTGGAGACCAGCCCCAGAAGATTTCTCATGAATCTGATGCTTGGCTAACAAGACTCTTCTACAAACCATTCCTGGCTATTCTCTATCCCTGGACTTGCAGCTCTAGAAGATGAAGATCTAAAGTGGTGGAGTGACCACTTCTAAAGAGCTTTTGTCTAAAATAAACCTTATCTGTGGCACGATTCAGGCTCTGTCATTCTTCCCATTTAGGCATTCTAGTGGACCCTCTGTGGATGGGCAGGACCATATGTGTGTCCTGCACTGAGCCCATGAATGCAAGGTACTCATGAAAGATCAGAGGCAAGATCCTTCCAGCTAGTTCCTTTCCTCCTTCCATGTCCATGTCTCTAGACAGGGCAAAGGGCATAATAATATTTTCTCAATCATTCTGTGAATAAAAATGACCTTCTAGCACTTAGCAAGCCTATTGGAGCAGGACTGGATGCCTAACTCCAGGAGAGCAACCCCAGCCCTTGGGATGTGGGACTTTGAGTGGCAAAGACTGGGAAGTGCCAGCTCCTGCCCTGGAGTGACTAGGAGTTAGGGTACAGTTAGGACAGAGGCTCTGTGGGTGGAGTCTTTGATTCAGAGTTTTCC